GCCGAAAGAATTTTTCCACCCTTCTGCCTTGATGGAGTTAACTGTTCCATCTACGAAGCCTTTCAGCCAGAAACAGGCTTCCTTTGGTAAAAGGATCGTAGCCCTGCTACCTTCCCCGACTTTCAAGTACTCTTTACCCCTTGCTCGTCCCTGCTCGAAGATGAATCTCTTCATTTCAATGCTCAGATCTTTTCTCCACCTCCCCGCCAGCCTAAAACTTTCCTCCACCGCCATTCGTCTCTGCAACTCTTGCTAGTGATTCATCTGCACCAAACAGCTCTGATTCATCTGCGATGGCATTACGTTCCTTCAAAACTCACATTGTCAGTTTCACCACTTTCAGTTGCTTTCAGCAAATAGTAAGCCCCAATATCAATCTTTTTCCCCATTTTACACTTACTACAGGTAGGGATGATATAATTGAATACAATTTACTTGATTGTTATATTAACAATCAAGTAATAAAGAAAGTCTCAGTTACCAATTGAAAAAATGAAATACTTTTGTTTAGCTAAAGATCCAGTTATCCTAATTCTAGATATATCTTATTTTGCCATATGGTTGGCTGGAATGATATCATTGGTTGCTTCTCTTTTCTTTCATTTATTTTAATTTTATATTGAAACAAATCTAGTTGGCTTTGATTAAGCTGCGTTTTTTTTTTCATGTTTTTATTCTTCTGTCTTCTTTTTTCTTGAGATATGGATAGAGGCACTCAAATAGTTATAATTATAGACATGTGTTGCACACAAATCCCCAGTTTCGAGTTTGTTCACCTTATTTCTGAGTTCTGACTTTTGAAATTCCTCAATTTGGCCAGACTGCCCTTGCCAACATCATTTTTCCCTTACCTTTTCTCCTGCAAGAACAATAAAATTTGCCTTTTAACTCCATGTCTATTTTCTGCAGGTTTTCCTTCCATATCCATATTCAAGATCATACAAAGTCCAATGGAGGGTGTTCGAAAAGCTTTTCACTGATTTCCGTGACTGTTTCAATTGTGTAGACTACTATGACGTATTAGCATGCGCCAAACACAAGTTCCAGCCAATACCTTCTGCTTGGTTAGGACACTAACCAACTCAGTTATCTTAGGTCATGAGTCATGTACCTGAGCTGTATATTTAGATAAAGCTTCACTGCAAGGTCTGGAAAAGCCTTCAACTAGGAGTAACATGGGTTCAAAACCTGTACCTTGACAATCATTGTATATATTTATATTGTAAGGTTGATATTTTAAAGTGTTTGCAGGTTATGCGGTCTCAGGCCCAGTATCGGTCATGCTTTACAATTTGCATATATGCGTTGAGAATTTTGTTCCCAAGTAAATTCCAATAAAGAATTTTTCTCATTAAATAGACGTGTGAAAACCAGTATTGTATTAGTTTATGAAAGATATAGTTAAGTTCCTTTCTTTTTTTACATGGAAAACTGAAGTTGGGTAGAAGTTACATATACGTGGCAGGACAAAGATGTCATTGTTTATTTTTACATTGTTTAAGTAGGGGTAAGGTTGTAAATGCACATTCCTTTATCTTATTAATAAAGTTGGACCTTTTTTCAGTAAAAACTTGAATTACATAAACACAGAGAAACAACACACAGAAAGCAAGGATTAATGAGTCTTAGTTCCTTTGAGACTGGACTTCTAGTTCTAGCCACCTAGGAAAGCTGGGGAAGAAGTGCCCGGACTATGCTAGACCCCTTTGCGCCATCGTATGCGCAAGACAATTCAGAGACCTAAAAAAAAGAGAAACTAACATGATTGGACCCTGCAAGAGATAAAATGTCTCGACACAACAAATATCAGGGCCGCAGTTAGGAGAGTACGATTAGATCTCCACTCCTACCGCTCCAGGCTCTATTCTCTCTTTCTTTGCCTCATCTTCTCTCTTCCTATTCTGATTTCCAGTTTATTCTTTATTATTTTCCTTCGATTCAAAAGATCTGTTTTAGGCAGATTATAGGTAAGAAGAACTATGTACATGATGCCTATGCATGTAAGAAGGCCAGTCACAGTTTAGTCAATGTCATTGGTTGTATTTGATAAATGAACTGCTTGCTTGAAGTAAAAGGATTTGAAGTTTAAAAACAGCTTAAATGCATGGATCATCAACATCTTCTAAGCTTGTTTGCCATTCTGTTCCATTTAGTGTCATATCCATTGTTAAATTATTAATGCTTAAATCCATTAGTCTTTTTGTAAGAGGATGGATTTTTTTTTTGACGAGTAAAGAGAWAAGATTCATTAATAGAGAATTAATGCAATTACAAGCTTCCCATGGAGAGGCACGAGTTGTGTCCTCTCCAAATAGCAGGAAGAAAGACAAAGGAAAACAGATAACAGAAAACAGGAAGCAGATTCAATCTACAATTGAACCCAATATAAACGTTCACTGTTTACCCCTTGCTTTGCAAGGCCATCAGCCATAGAGTTTGTAGATCTCCCATTCTCATTGTTAAGCTCCTTGTCAGGCAGTTGAATTTTTTAATTTCATTCTTAAAACACCACACTATAGAGTCCAGGTTTTGTGGCCATCCCAAGGAGTCCCCTTCTATTATCAGATGTTCCACACCAATCTGCACAGCTAACTGTACTCCTTGGATAGCTGCTGCAAGTTCCGCCCTAATGGAGTTTCCAACTCCTATTGGCCCCAAGTAAATAAGAACCACATTCCCAGCCTCATTCCTCGGTACCCCTCCCACCCCTGATGACCTGGATTACCAAGACTACTTCCACCGAAGTTCAGCTTCAAAAAATTCTCAGGAGGGGATTCCCAAGTCATACTCACTTTAGTCTTTCTAGATGAACAATTAGCCACTGCTAACCAATTCCTCCAAATATCACTAAATGAGAAAAGATGAAATAAGTCCAGTGATTTTAGTCATAAGACCACCCTATTTAGAATGCAGTCCTTCATCTCTTCTAAGTTTCTCTCCTTCTCTTGGAAAGTTCTGGTATTCCTTTCTTCCAACACGGACCAAAGCAGCGCTGCTCTTGCACACCTCCACATAATTCTTCATCTTCTGTGCTGCCAAGGGAGGAAAGCAGGATCAAAAATCAAGCTTGCATCCGCTGGCCTAATCAACCTGCACCCAAACAATGAGAAGAGCCACTCCCATAACTTTGCAGTAAATGAACAGGAAATTAGTAGATTGTTACAGTCCTCACCATGTGACTTGCATAGGATACACCAAGAAGGTGAAAGACAAAGATAAGGTCTTCTCTTTTGTAAAACGTCTAAGGTGTTTATTTTCCCATAATGCACTTCCAACAAAAAGCCGTAACCTTAGGGGGAGCAGGCCTACACCAAATTTCCTTAAAAGGGAAAAGCTGAGTGGGGTTAGATTGAGTAATGGATTTAAAGAAAGAAACGCAACAGAATGATCCATTTGGCTTGGGTGTCCAGATCCATTTGTCGGGTTCAGAAGGGTCCAAACACACTGTATCAAGTAGGCTTAGCAGATTTGTTAGGGACACAATTTCCTCTTCCCTTAGGCCTCTACGAAACCCAAAATCCCAATTCGGTGTTAATGGATTATTCATAAAGGAGCAAAACTTTGAGACAGCCTCCTTTTTGTACCTTGAGACAGAGAACAAAGAAGGTCCTTCAATGGAGCCTCCCCGACCCATGTATCCTCCCAAAAAAGAACAAAGTTACCATTACAAACATCATGCCTGACAAAACTGGGAAACTGAGGAAGGATGCCATGAATAGCTTTCCAAGGAGTTGCCAAGGTTGTCTGCCATGATACTCTAGCATCCCACCCATTATCAAAGCAACCATGAATACTACCCACCACCTCATGCCAGAGCCTCTCTCTCACCACTGGCCACCTCCACAGCCACTCCCCAACAGTGCTTTATTCTTTTTAATCAAATTCCCTAACCCCAATCCCCCCTCCTCTTTATTCTAGCATACAGTCTCCCATTTTATCAAGTGATCCTTCTTACCTTCTCCCGGCTCCCAGAGGAAATCTCTCATCACCTTCTCTAGCTTCTTAGCTTCCCTAGGTGGTATCCTAAACACAGATAGGAAATAGTTTAGTAGGTTAGCTAATGTGGCTCTTATCAGCGTGATTCTTCCCCCCAAAGAAATATAGTTTTTCCTCCAAGAAGTCAATTTCTTTTGAAACCTCTCCACCACTAGACACCAAAAACTACTTTCCTTAGGGTTTTCCCCTAACGAAAGCCCCAAGTAGGTAATAGGCCATGATGAAATAGAACACCCTAAGCTTCTTGGTATAGCCTCCACTTGACTGTCCTCCAAGTTAACCCCAGCTACACAACTCTTCCCAAAGTTGACACTCAGATTTGACACCCTCTCAAAATTCTTAACCAGATCCTTGAGATTTCTCAATTTCTCAATATCGTCCCCTTCATAGAAAATCAAAATATCATCTGCAAATTGGAGATGGGTGACCGAAATACCATCCCTACCTATCCTCCACCCTTTAATCATTTCTTCCCTATCAACCTTTGAGATCATTCTACCAAGCATCTCTGCTATTAGAGTAAAGAGAAAGGGTGATAGTGGGTCCCCTTGTTTGATACCTCTAGAAGTTGGGAAAAAGTCCTTCACCACTCCATTAACCAGGACATATTAATGGCATGAACTCACATCCAAAAATCCAATTGCACCATTTATTCCCGAAGCCACAACATTACTTGTACCAAGAAGTGCCAATCCACCAAGTCATAGGCTTTCTCTAGATCCAACTTACAAACAAAGCCTCTTCTTTTGGATCTCCTCATATCCTCCACACATTCACTAGCAACTAGGATTTGATCTATTATTTGTCTTCCTTGAACAAATGCCCCTTGGGCTTGGCTTATTAGGGATGGGAGAGCTACTTTCAGCCTCAAAGACAACACCTTAGACAGTATTTTGTAAGTGCTAGTTACCAAACTAATTGGCTTGTAATCCTTAGGGTGGATAGCATCTATTTTCTTGGGGACTAAGGCCAAAAAATCTCCGTGAATTCCTTAACAGCGTCACATAAATCCTCTTTCAAAATGTCCCAACAATCTTGGTAGAAAGCCATAGTAAAACCATCCGGACCTGGTGCCTTAGATCTATCCATCATTTACACTGCCCTCCTGATCTCCTCTTCTTCAATGTTCCTTTCTAACCACCTTGCTTTTTCTCCATCTAACCTCGGCCATTCCAATCCTTCTATAGGCACCCTCTCATTCAATGTCCTTCTAAAGATAGCTTTAAAATGGTCTACAAAGGTTCCAGCTATCTCCTCCTGATTGGTAATTACCTGCCCTTCTACCTCTAATCTATCCACTAAGTTCTTCCTCCTACCATTTGCCAACTCATGAAAGAATCTAATATTCTCATCTCCCTCCTTAATCCACTTATGCCTTGACTTCTGCCTCCAACAGATCTCTTCTTTGAGTAGAACCTATTCTAGGTCCTTTTTTAATTGCCTTCTTGATTCGCTATCCTGCTCATTCAACAATCCTTGGGCTTCCCTCTCATCCAGCTCTTCAATTTGTGTGAATAAGTTCAGCTTTTGTTCCTTTACCCTACCAAATTGATCTTTATTCCACTCCTTCAACTTGACTCCCAGTCTCTTCAACTTCTGATGGAATTTGACTCCTTTCCACTTTATTCCCCTTATCTCCTCATTCCAGCAATCCTTCACTATGTTTCCAAATCCCGGATGAGTTAACCACATATTCTCAAATCTAAATGGTTTTGGTCCACTAATTAGGGATTCCACCCCAATCTTAATGGGGCAGTGGTCTGATGTAACCCTAGGCAAGGCTCTAGAAACCAGATTTCCCCAATAGTTTTCCATTCTAGATTGAATAGAAACCTATCCAGCTTTGAACAAAGAGGATTATCTTGAAAATTGGACCAAGTGAATCTAGCTTGCATTAACGGAATTTCTTTTAGCTCACAATCTTCTATAAATCCATTAAATTTCCTCATGCTTGTTGTGATTGACTATACAAGATTCTAGATTCTTCTAAATATCTTGGACATTAAAATCCCCTCCTAAACACCAAGGCTCATCCCATAAACCTCGAATTGAGTACAATTCCTCCCAAAATTCATTCATTTCTCTATAGGTGTTAGGGCCATACACATTAGTAAGCACCCAACAAAATCCATCCTCCACATTCTTGAATTTAATGGAGACAGAGTATCTACCTACTAACTCCTCCACCGCTTCCACTACCTCATTCTTCTAGATGGTGACAATTCCTCCAAATGCTCCCCAAGATGGAGCCGAGGACCAACTAACACCCCTAGTCCTCCAAAAGCTTCTTATCCACCTTCCGTCTAGCTCAGAGAGCTTTGTCTCTTGCACCATAACAAGATCAGGCTTCTCTCTTGTTAATAAATCCTTTATTACCCTCCTTTTTCTCGCACTTCCCAATCCTCTCACATTC